AGTTTTTTCGTTGCAAGCTAATCCAGGATGCGTTGTGCGCGGGTCTCGAGATATCGGTCTAATTGTCCGAGGAAGGAAAAGATGGGAAAGTGGTCGATAACGGTTGGAGTTACGGCGGGGTATTCGATTGGCGGGGTAATGCCGCAATAAAGTCGCAAGGGTCGCGTGTAATAGTTGGTCTGCGGTTGAGAGGCAGGATTGGAGTCGACAGGCTCGTTTCGAATCGAATAAACCAAGAATAGTCCATTTTCAACGACGGATGTTCCTCTGTGGAGTTGCATATAGGTTGCGGCTGCGTGCACACCGCCCACCACACGTGGAATATCAGCGAACCGTGGTGACCCCTCGTATAAACAGTAGTTTGCGTCGCGTCACTTTATTTCGTGCAGATGCACGCTCACGGTTTATACAGATTTATATAGGGAGTAACGCAGGCACCGTACTTTCGCGGAGAAAAATACGAATCGCACGAGTGTAATTGCCGCTTTTTCCAGTCGAGCGGGAATATTTTGATTTTACGCGGGGTTTTCTCTCCTATTTTTGCCAGGCTGATTTGAAACGCGGAAAATTGCCGGCCGGCCGGCTGGCAAAATGCGCCCGAAATGCGCCGCTTCCGATTTACATGGTTAAAGAACGAGCCGCTTTGTTCGCGCGACATTGTTTCCGCGATTTCACTCGCGTCGGTCGCGCGCCAATTTGCATTTACCGCGTGACGTGTCTGGCGTCAGAAACGAATCAGAAACGGTGATATTATTCTATTTTGCTGACCCGATTCTAAAATTCGTCCGTTCGCTTCTCGTAAGGGCAAACGTTCGGAAAACTTGGCGGTCTTTGCGGTCTTTAACGTTCGAGCGAGACAATGGTATCGTTAAGAGGAGAGGGGACGGTGGAGGTTGGAGAAAAGTAAGCCGCATTGAGATTAACAAATGTACGTGACCGGGTTGCGATTTCAATGGAGAAAAAGCAACGCGAGTAACTCTTTCGATTCTCTGTATTTCACAGTTGGCGATTGTTGCCTCGAGATTGCTGACCGAGTCGTACCGTGTGTACGGTGTACGCGAAGCCATGGTAGGAAGCCCAGTTTCTCAACGTCGAGTAACAAATCTTGAGAATGGCTCGTAAGCGAACGCGCGCTGCTGGATGGCATTCCTATGCAACGCTTCGCCTACACTTACGTATGTATCTACCGCCCCGTAACCGCGCGCCCTACGAATTCCGTTAGAACGAATACAAGTGGCCAAAGCCTCCATAGATCACCGTCGCGATTCGGCCCGCGCATATAGAAAGTTCGATACACCTAAGAAAGAAACGTAACTCTGGTAGCCACCTGGTTTCACCCCAGAAAACGTTAAGAAGGAACGTTACTTTAGAAACCCGCTATCGTTCCTTCGGTAAATGAGTGTCGATAAAGTGAAGTTTAACGCAATCACCGAACCATTTCCATTACGCTCTCTCGTCTCTGTACCTACATGTATACTATATCTCCTACATATGTATTTCGCGAAACGTTGCGTATAAAAGGTCGTAAGACGGATAAACGCAGGCATTGTTCGGAATACGCAACCGCAGAATTGTCGCTGTACGAACCGACGGAAGAGATATCCTCGTTATTCGTGGCGCAACGGTAGGTTCGCAGGAAAGCGCAGAAATATATTTCGGGTTTCACGTGTGCACGGTACGGAGTACAGAGGGATAGAGAGAGAAAGAGTAGTTAAGCCAAGGATTCGTTGTGTATCCTGCGAGGTCTATAGGCAGTCCGCCGCGCGGTCTATGTACGGCTGCAATCGATTACTTGCTTTATTTCGCGTGAGCCGCTGTGACCTCACCAAGCTGTGTTATTACATTGCCCGGCTGGTTTGGTGTGGGTGAATGGAAATGCGTCAGTGCGCTCGCGTACTCCAGGATATCAGGCCGATGCTTGGCCGAGTGGTGTGCAATTCGTGACATTACGTGAATCGGTAGGAGACAGCAGATTCCACAAAGAGAGACACACAACGTGTGTGTGTGTGTGTGTGTGTGTTGTAACATCGATGGATGCACGGGATGACCTGAATGCATCCGATGGATTTTCCGATTTTGAATCTGATACTGGATGCTGCTGATCGAGAGAAAGCAAATACGGATAAACTGAAATTTTGGTCGTGTCTTCAAAGACTGTATCGCCCAAGTAAGTAGGTAGGTACTACCTGCAGCGATACCTCTTTCGAATCGAATAGGCTCGATGCACGTTCGATTACGCCAATTTATCCGAGGAATTCGATATTCGATTAGGTTCATTCTGATAGCCTTCAAAGAAGAATTAATTCCCGATCGAACGTCGAGTAAAACGAACATCTCCCCGGTACATCGTTGCGATGTTCAACCTGTTTTCCAGGAATTACCACGCGTTGCAAATTCGCTCGATTGTAAATTGATAAACGCGGCAACGAGAAGCGGCCGTTTTATCGCTGCGCTTTCCGTAGATATCGTGGACGTCTCTTGTTCGGTGAATTTACTACAATTTTCTGCACTATCGTGCATTACGTATACTGTAGAAACAAGCTCGGTTCGCCCCCATAGCTGTTCTCTGTACCTGGAAAGATAGGGATTTCGAAATGAAACGTATACTCTGTAAGCACACGGTGCTTCTGAAACATTCATGATCTCGGTAAAGATCTTTCTATACTACGCATCGGATGGTTGAATCGACCCATTTCCATTGTCATATCGCAACTATACGCCGGTTGACGAATTTTCCTTCTGCCACGGAACGACAGAACTCGGATTTAATTGGTCGATAGAGACGATGTTCCTTTCATTTTCCACGGACGACAGTGGTGCTGTTGCTTCTTCAGTTTCTCTCAATTCAACGCAAGAATTTGTAATTGTCGAGAAACCACGGGATCCGTTGCCGGTTTTCCTGCGATACTTTTCGAGTCGCGCGCGCGCATCGTTCGGCGTAGTAATCGCCGCGTTCTTTTTCAATTTCCCCAACGAGAATAATTCGCTGGATAGAATAGGAGGGTTGTACGGTAAACGTTGTCGGAGTAGGGGTTTCGCTGGGAATAAACGATAATGAACGTGGCTCGTAATTGTCCCAGATCATCGATCATCGTTCACGTGACAGGTAATGAGAAAGCATAGTTTTAGTTTCCGGTTCGTTTAATTGTTACGGACGCGCACGTCGTGCCGGAAAATAAATAGCCGTCAAGCCAGACGGTGCATTCTGATGTCGCTTTTTTCTTTTTTTTTCCATTACACACGCAGGTGGACTTGTAAAAAATCCGCAACTAGTGCACCAGCGCAGACTGATTAAGTCGCCTCTCGTTTCGCGCGTGTAATTTACTTAGCGTCTGACGGTACCGTTATTTTTCATAACACCATTTACTTGGTAACTGTGAATCTGCATCTCGTTGCAATCTCTCGCGGACCGCGACGTGCCGCGAATTTTTCCACCGGCTGCCATCGTATCAGCTTCCCGTCAACGTGGAATACATATTTATTTTACACAGCTATTGATTTCTTGCAACAAAGGCTGATCGAAGATAAGAATCACCTCTGCTCTGTTTACAATTTTTCCACGCCCCTTTTTTCCCTGTTCGAATGTGCCGCGTGCGCGCATATTTCTCGAGCCTCCTGTATCAAATATGCCAAATCAGAAATTCAATACAGTCGGCCGAATGTCTCGGCGTAAAGTACGATTTCTGCCCGGGCTGTCTCTCTAATGTAATAAAAACGGAGGAATTTATCTGTACGCTTTCATAGGTGCGATATACATTTGCGAATGTCGTTTCGACGAGGACGCGTTCAAGAGCGTGGAAAGACGGTCGATTTAAAAAAATATCACAGTTCACTTGGAGCAAAAACCTTTGGATACTCTTGATCGAAAGACGACGATCGCAACGACGCGACGGAGATTCGCTCTCGAAGCGGTCGTCCTCTTGGTGTGTACTTGGCGAACCACGGCCAATTAGCCGGAAGCGCATTCAGACCATTAACTCGAAATGAATTCGCGTTTAGGGTTTGCTTCAGCGTGGAAGCACGATCGGTAAACCGTTCGGCAAATTCGATATCTGGACCGCGCTGCTTCACCATGGATTATTAAACTCATCGATCGAGCCAGCTTTCAAGTTGCTCGTAGCAAAGTTACATCCGCTCCTGTAACAAATACGACAACTCCTCCTTCCTTCTTATTCCTACCGTTCGTCTCTATAAAAGCGAACACTTTTCTGGGTCGTACCATCCGTACGTATAGTACCCTGTAGCATGTTTCGATCGGTACGGCTTCCACCTACCTCCGAAATTGCAGCCGGTCCTAACCATTCGCGTAGTTCTCCCTGGAATCGCAATCCAGTTTTGCACGGCGCTTGTAATTGAATCCGAATTTGTCGTTAGAGTACGTAGCGAGTATCGTTAGGAGACCACATTATATTCTCCCGGGTACGATAGAAGCCTTAGTCCGATCTGACATACATTGTACCTGTCCTGTTTACCGATGTTAGCAACCACGTAATTGCACGGACTTTCTCGTATCGATACGAGCCTCGTTTCTGCCATGAGAATTCTCCTCGTACCTCCAACTTGTTTTTTACACACTTTCCGACGAAAAATTTATTCACCGGCACCAATCACATTTTTTCCCACATTGCATCCAACTTGCAACGCGACCCGGCTACGACAAATGTTACAATAACATCGATACGCACAATTCAAAACACTTGATTCTCGAAAAGCGATAATTGTTTTCGACAAGTTATTTATAAACGCGAACACGCGTACAGAGAGGACGAGAAAGAAACGAGAGAGAGAGAGAGAGAGTGCTTTCGATCTCGGATCCAATCGATGTTTCATCCGCAATTATTCATAGCCAGCTCGCGGGAAAAAGAAAAGTAAATAAAACGGCACGGGGCAAACAAAGCTGTGGCATCGAGACACGTGGCCGGTCGTTGCTACCTGCCACTCTCGTCCGTGCAAAAAAAAAAAAAAAAGAATATAAGTTGGTTCTTGCCCTCTTTTTTCAGAGATTCCGGGTAGATGGAGGAAGCACTGTCCGCACGGACAGGTAATGTCGGAGCCTGGTTGCAACCTAGTATCCGGAGTGACCGTAGAGAACGGGAAGACCGTGTCGACCGGAAAATGCGTTTGTGGACGGTCGGTGCCTTGGTGTCCAAACGATCCGCGGCCCTACGATTATTCTACCGAACACGAGTGCAAGCTCAATTTGGCCGTAAAGATGGGATACGGTAAGTTCACTTCTACTCGGCGGTTCAAGATTACCTTCCGTATCCATTGAACGTATACAATTTCGTACGTATGAACGAAAGAGTGCGTTTGCTTTGAAAAGGAGAAAAGCATGGAATGCGACGCAAATAATCGGGCGTGTAGTCGCGTAACTATTCTACCGGTTGTTTGCATTTCACCAGGATATTGGAAAGGGTAAATAGGGATTGGTGGACAAATCCGTTATATTCCTGTTCTGTATTTCCATTCTTTTTAATAAAGGCCGTCCATTACGGATTGTCAATCTGTCGGTATTACCGTCGGTTATTATACTTTCATAAAATATCGCATCCCCGTGGCATTTCATCGTCGGATAAAATATTCCATTCTTCGGGATTATTTAATTGGGTGATGTACACGTACGCGCGTTCTGTACGCGGAACAGAACGATTGGCTTTTTAGTCTGTTTCGTTTCGACGATAAAGTGTTCACGGGTGAAAGAAAATGAGAATCGTTAAAGTGGATAAAGTACGTGAAAGGAGAGAGCAGAGTTGAAATAACAAAAGTACGGCAGTTGCCCGTTAATGAAAGGAAAACATAAATACACAGTAGCAAAAGAAGGAAGGAACAATGGCGACTAAGAGGAAACGAAAGGTCACGAAGGCGAGAGAGATACACGGCGGCGTTAATGAGAAAAAGACATAACTAGGGGAATGTTTCGTGACGTAACTCTCACTCTCTTCGCTTCTTTGTCTCTGATTAAAGTCACGAAAAATAAGGCTCGCGAGCTCGAGACACACGTACTCTCTCGTATGTTACTCGAAACGTACAACGTCAAAGGGAAGCTTAATTGAAAATCTAAAAACTCGGAGTAGCTTGAATGTAAATTCTACCTGAATAGCTACTACGTATTTACGTATAATATGTGGGGGGAAAAAGCGTGGAGGAGGTAATTACGCGAATGTTGTCTATCGAATAAGCTCGCGATAATTACAGTCGGAGAATTTGGAGTCGTTGCACATACATAAGTATATCGTAGAATCGATAGTTAACTCGTCTTTTCATTGAGTCGAACTTTCAGCAGTCTATTCTAGCACACTTTGGCGTTGAACGTGTAACGAAGTTGTTAGCGAGTGAGTAACAAAAGTAGTTACCTGCACTGGTGCAGAAAGTTAAATTCGATTCGTCGGGAAAAGTTTAATCGTGTACGTACTTTGAAGGTAGAAACCAGACCGATTGTTCTTTTGCGGAGTTAAGTACACGACCGAAAATTTCCAAGTGCATCAAAAAAAAAAAAAAAAAAAAAAAAAAAAGGAAAGACGACGGGAGTGGACGACGAAACTTTCCTTTGTGTTTTCCTTTCACGGCAATAACTTTCAGTTTCAAAATCATCTCCTACCTGTTCTACCCTTCCCGTACGTCACCCTTTAAACGGTCCAAACTTTTTCCCCTTTCGAAATCTACCACGATTTTCCAATGCACCAGCCGTTTACGGAGTTAAGTTCAATTTCTTCATAACGATCTGCGTCACGTACAATTCCGTTTGTGCGTTCGACGGTTAGATCGACTTCGTAACAACTTTACCTTTAATTTATGTATATCGGTCTGTCGCTTCGGTCCCATTTCTTGCCGTACCTCGGCATCCAGCTGCCACGTTTCTCCGTGAAAAATGAAAACATCGAGAGTAACGAACGTACACGTAGGAAACGTACTCCCATCCCGAGTTTTACATATTCTCGTAATATTCGTTATCTCTCGAACAACATTTTCACCTGGTTTCCATAAATCCACGGAGCGATAATTGCGTTTTTAATAACCGCAAGAAACAAAAAAATTTACGGGCTACCTTCTTTCGTGCACTTGAGCTATCACTAATAACTTCATAATTGGGTCATTACACGAACGCTTTATCGATCGCAACATTCAATTAAATCACTTTGCAAGATGTGATGAGGCCACGAGTTCACGCAACTGCAGAGAAGCTGTGTACAAAGGATACCTCGGAATGGAATATCAATGAAGTAAGTCAGAACTTGCTGTTACGCTCGAATTCATAAGCCGGTACAACGTTGATTTTATTGTGTAGCAGTACACGTGTACGTGGTGCAAGCGCAATAAAATACAGCCTGTGATAATTGAGGCAGCGATTTAAAATTATCCGCGACCTGTGACACGGATAAAAGAAAAGATCTTTTCACAGTTGGGCGGGTAGGTTCTTTTGTTCGGGAGAAAGATTCGAGATTGAAGGTGGAGCGTTGGAATAGACTAAACGGATGGTTGATTAGAGCAAAGAGCAGTTACGTGTCTGCAAATATTAATGGCAAATACCACGATGGTTCTCCGAGGAAGATTAACCGAAGGATTTCACGGTCGATACTTCCGTATAACTTTACGTTTGTTTAGGATCCCACGTCGATGTTGCGCAAAATTTACTTGCCATATTAGCCGTTCGGTAATCTATTCAATTATTTGCATAACAAATGTCCTCGGATAGATGAAATATCGAGTGGCTCAAGTACGTGTAAACTCATAATCTGCAATGTATCCATGTTGATCATTTTCTCGAGATAATTCACAAAGTTTCCGAAGCTGTTCGATTATTAGGTACGATTCGCAATCTTCTTTCCAAGATCGGGGGGAGAAACGTTCATCTGTTTAAAGCTCGCTGTATTTGTTTGTAGAATCGTCTTGTTACGTAATCTAATGAAGCGCGTTAAGAAAGTAACGATTTAATTGATTTGCGCGGAGCACGTTCTGCGACAGCATGTACATAGCTCCTTGGTCTGACGTTGATCAACTTCTGTTTCAGATGGCCTCTTTAATCCCGGAAACACGGCAAGCGACGACGTTGAAGGTGAGTCACTTTTAGCCAATTTCCAAAGTTTCTGCCAGGAGTTTTAATTGAGTGTGTTTAGTATTCATCGGCGATTGAGTTTAAGGGATTAAAGTGAAATTACACGAGTACGCTTGCGTTAACGAACTGTACTCTGTATTTCACAGTTTTCCCGGACCTTTTATATTATTATCCGGACGGTGGATCGTCGAGAAAGAAAATATATCCTCAAGGAACAACGCATCCGTCCTTCGTAATACATTTTATCCAATTTCGTCGAATTTTCCACTATTTTTTTCGTTACCTGCACATCTCTCCGTATTATTGCGATAATAATAAAATGAAATTTATTCCCGATGAAATTCCCCGTCGCTCTTTAGTCTGAAACGCGTAAATTTTTGTTAGTTCTCTCTAGTTTTACGCATCGACCGACAGCTGTTAATATCGCCCATAAAAACTGCACGTTTCTCGTCTCTCGATAAAAATATCCCATTATATTCTTGGTAATAAAAACCGA